AAAGTTGCTAAGTGCTGATCTGACTGTTTTTGCAGGGTGGACCATAGTGGATCACAGTCAATGAAACCTGGTCTGAGGAAGTGTAAGTGTGATTTTTTTAATAATGAGAAGAAGTTTTGTTTGATAAAATGTAAAAACTGCTACTATCTTTTGTGTTATTTTTCTCCATCAGATGCCTGTGAACTCACACTGGATCCAAACACAGCAAACACAAAGCTCGTACTGTCGAACCACAACAGAAAGGTGACAGTGGGTAAAGAGACGCAGCCGTATCCTGATGACCCAGAGAGATTTGACTACTGGAAACAGCTGCTGTGTACTAATGGTTTGACTGGTCGCTGTTACTGGGAGGTTGAGTATGAAGGACAGGTTTATATAGCAGTCACTTACAGAGGAATCAAAAGGAGAGGAGAAGGTGACGAGTCCTGTCTTGGAATGAATGACCTGTCCTGGAGTCTGAGCTGCTCTGATGATGGTTACTCTGTCCTGTCACAAGAACAAAAGAGCATCCATCTACATGCACCCCACGTTCAGAGTGGGAGTGTACTTGGACTGGTCTGCTGGCACTCTGTCCTTCTACAGTGTGTCCTCAGGCCAGCTGACCCACCTCCACACCTTCCAGACCACATTCACAGAGCCGGTCTACCCTGCATTCAGGATTAAGATGGGCCCATCTAACTCTTCTGTGTCTTTGTGTGATATGGCATAGAGCAGTCTCTCAGGTAGAGAAGTATTCTGCTCAGTACAGAACCAGGCCTTTCAGTTAAAAAATATTAAAAATTGATGCATGTCCTGTCAACTGATTGTCTCATTACTTTTCCAGAGACAGAAAGGACTTTGAGGTGCCGAAAAGCAGCACCACAACTCAGAGGTTTATACAGAGCAGCATTTGTCATAATTGACCAAATCATACCAACAAATATTTTTCTAGTAAGTAGTAAATATAGTCAACTTAATGGATATAATGAGTTGGTTCTCTCTTACTAGTTTGTTTTTGTCTATCATACATTGTTCTAATAAGAACTTTTTGTAGCAGTTGGTAAAGGATTAGATGTCAATCAATGTTTTTGTAGATTGTAGCAGCACAAATTCTGACTTCTGTACTAGTAGTAGGATAAGCAGTATATTTACTGTCTACTGTGTTGGTTCTAATCATATGCTGCTGTTTGTGACTGACTATAATCTATTAGTTTTTTTGTTGTATTGATCTTTAATCATTGGTGTTTTTTGCTGTGTCAGTTAGTGTATTCTTATACTCTTGGTAGACAAATAATATTTTCTTTTGGTCAAGGGTTTGTTCAAGCTAGGGTAACCTGCACACAAAAACCCAATGTTGGGTTAAGAGACTTCTTAAACTGTTTCAAGATTTTTAGAAATCACACAGCTTCAATGATCTGTATACTTTTATTTTGAGCTGCCAGTGGAAATGGGTTTTCTTATGAGGCCATCACCATCAGGGTAATTGTATTGCTAATTAACGAGGTGTGGCTAGCACTACTGTAGCCAATTGAGCACTGAGCAAGTCCCTCCTCATGAGTCCTTCACAGGAGGAGTGAGTTGGAAAGAAATAATCATTGTTACCAATCACTATTAATCTCTTATCACTTGCTGCTCTAAATGTAGTAGTTTACAATTTTGGGTTGCATCCATTTATTGAATGCAATAATTATAAGTCGCTAGCGTCAGCTAACTACATGTAAGGCAATGTAGGCGTTTACTGTGTCCCATTTCAGACACTGAATCTACAAACTGAATACCTCCGAACAGGCTCCAAAAACTCATCCAAAGCAGGCAGAGAAATGCAGCATTTAAAGTCCCAATTTAGAGGACAAAACCAGGGTCTCTTTTATTGTCAGCATTAGAAA